GCAGGAAGTTTGCAAGAGAAATCTGAGCAATAACTGGGCATTTTGTTATGGAAGTAATAGGAATTTAAACTGTTTCTAAAAAATAGGCTGTTTTGTTCCTTTTTTTGCTTTTGACACACTGTGAGGAAACCAAAGATATGATTGTCCATTAGAAAATGAGAGGAATTTGAGCTTTGAGGAACGGGGAAAAGATAATATTGTATTCTAATCTGAGGTGTGTATTAACCTTCTTTATTTCCTTTTTTTGCTACTACAGCATGATGTCAACTTTTTGAAAAGTGATTTTTCTTTCTATAGGAGAAAGAAGAGAAAACACAAAATTTTCCCCCAACACTTAAGAAGGTGTTAAGTAAAAGCAATGCCTTCCAAGAAACAGCAGCAGTCAGTATTTTCTAAATGGGCTTATTCAAATAAGGAAAGTATTAAAATAACCTCTAAATGTGAAAGAGACAAGTTCAGGACACAGTACTATTTTGTAGGTAATGATGCTTGATTTTGTACTAACATCTAGATTTGAACCAGGAGAAATCAGTTAAATGTCAGCCAAAATTTGCCAGTTCATCAAACCAAGATAATGCTTATTTACTTATTTAGTTATATTTTTCAGCTTTACTGAGGTATAATGACAAATAGAAGTGAAAGATATTTAAAGCATACATTTTAAAGATTTGATGTAGGTGTGCACTGAAAGAATTCCTCCCATCTAGTTAATTAATACATATATCACCTCTGTCTTTCTGTCTTTCTGTCTTTCTGTCTTTCTTTCTTTCTTTCTTTCTGTCTTTCTGTCTTTCTGTCTTTCTGTCTTTCTGTCTTTCTGTCTTTCTGTCTTTCTTTCTTTCTGTCTTTCTTTTCTCTCTTTTTTTTTTTTGGTGAGAACAGTTAAGTTCTACTCTTAGCAAATTTTAATTATATAATACAGTGTTATCAAATATAGTCACCATCTTATACATTAGATCCTCATCAGTTTTTTACACTGATGAATTTTTCTTCTCGTTCTCTCAGTTGAATACCTGTGAATAACCACATTCTACATGTTTAGTGATTTACTAATAAAGATATAGTTACCAGTTTAAAGATCCTTTAAACAGGTGCCCAAAATGGTTTAATCTAGCTACTCTCGGTTTTGCCCATTCTCTGGATCCCTTAATACTCTTTGCAAGACCAGTTAATTCTTTGTAATTAAGAAGAGCACCTATTTGATTTAGAGATAGTTTTATACTCCTTAAACCAGTAAATATTAGCATTTGTGATTGGAAAGAATTAGAAGTGTGTAGGGGAACAATGTTTTTTTCCTAAGCTGCATAAATATAGGCATGTTAGACAAAAAGATATGTTTTGTTTTAGTCATCTCTCATATTAGCAGTGGAGTAAATTAAAAGATAGATAAAATCGTGAACAGTATAATAACATTTTTAAAAAGATAAATGTGACTTAGGCATTAGAATTTTTTCCTGAAAAAATGAGTAACTTAATTTCAAATGTAGTTGAAAATAAAATGTAATTATTCTGTTGATTAAGTTGATAATATGAATAAAAGAACTTCAGTATTTGGTCATATGGTTCCTAATAGACTGCGATGCATATGTATGATTATGCACTACTTTGTCACAGTTATGATTCTTCCTTAAATGTAATAATTCCTGAAGAAAGTATTTGATTTTTCTTTTTTTTTGGCCTCACTTTAACCCCACAGATGGTTATGTTTGGTTTTGAATTCTACAAAGTGGTAATATCTAATAACTAATTTTTTAACGGTTTCCTCTATTCTGTAGTATTTGGTGGTACTGGAACATTGGCATTATTGAATTTTTGCTATGTGCCAGAATCACACAGAATTCTAGCTGAAGTTCCTAGAGAAAGGTTTGTGTAAGGAAATTATAACTGTGTTATATGAAATTAGAAGTAAATGGCTAAAAACATATCAAAGTGAATTATTTTAATTTTCTTATAAGAATTAGATATAAATAGTGTTTGTTGAAAGTGTGAAGTGTTACTATTTAAGTATTTGATCATATGGTTATATAATTACATACATATATATATGTGTGTGTATATATATGTATGTGTATATATATGTATGTGTATATACATATATTGTATATATGTATATATATAAAATCATATACAAACCTCGTTCAGTATTCTTATGAGATGCTTATGCTTAGATATCCATTTTCCTGGCCTTAGAAGTGACTATATTTTGAAAAACACATCTAGAAACATTGCCTCGCTTATCAGGTATATCTAAAGTTAAAAATTAAGTATCACTCTGTGTTTCATTTAAAATAACTCTGCTTGACCCAAAAACATATAAATATCTACTATTTTTCCCTCATTTAATTTTAAAATGAATATTTTTTAAATAGTGAAGTGTGAGAAAGAAGTTTTCTATTTGGCTATAGTACTTTGTCATATGACCATTTGCAAACATCTAGTTAAAAAAGAAAATCAGTAGTGATAATAAAATTTAGGAAAATTATATTTTTTAACCATAACCTTACATATGTGGCAGACCACAATACATTTACTTTTCTCTTTGCCTTTTTGAGGTTTGCGATTTCTATTAAATAGAAAAGATTTCTACCCTTTTCAAATGTTGTACTTTTGTTTTATACATATAGAAATAAAGTTTAATGACATTGGCATAGTTATAAAATTACAAAATTCATTCGAAAGCTTAAAACTTAGATTTTACTTTATTATATTTTTGATATATAATATTTGCTCACTGTGATCAGTTAAAAATTATAATTTTTTCACAGAGGAAAAATGATTTCTCTCTTTATGTTACTCTGAAAAGTACTGTTTTCTGAATTTGGTTTTGTTTTTCTCCAGACGATGGGTACGGCTGCTGTTTGGACGAGAGTTCCCCCTGCAGGATCTCCTGGTGGTCTGGGATGCCTTGTTTGCAGATGGCCTCAGCCTGAGTTTAGTGGATTATATCTTCATAGCCATGTTACTCTACATCCGAGATGCTTGTAAGTGTTAATGACCTTGCCTACAATTCAAGTAGGTGATCCTGATTTTTTAAAATTTTTTTAATCTTTTAAATATACTTTGTCTTTTATTCTGAATTATCATGCCTACATTTTACGGGAGGCAGTACATTGAAGTTTCAAAGGAACATAGTAAATATCTTTTTTGTTAGTTAACCATGTACATATTGAGAGATGTGGGTGATTTTATCTTGAGAGAATTGGAATCTTCTTCAGAACCATTTTTCTAAAGACTTTACTCTTACTTTAATCTCCTCATTACACACATTTGTGAAATGCATATAGAAAAAGCCAGTATTTCAGATATGTTTAGAGCTCCACCTTCTGACAGGTAGGTAGTATTCAAGGATGTTTATCAGGAGATTTGAGCTGTTTTTATAGTATTAACAACTTGTCAATTTAAAAATATAAATATTACATTTAAAATTATTTTAGCTTCTCAGTTATATGTTGGCCAAATGTATTTCTCAATGGAGTGCCAAATGGTAACTGTATTCCATCTCATCTGATCTACTTTAGGGTGCTTGCCATAGCTGGAAAGCCAGTGCCTGTCCCTTTTGAATAGTCGGATAATCCTCAGCTTGAAGAAAATATCAGAGCATGTTTTAAATTTCAAAACAATCCTTTATTTCATTTTCCTTTTCAGAAAAATAATTACAGTTCACAAAACAATATTTGTAAACCAAAATATAATTAGGAAAGATTGCATAAAGTGATGACTAAGTAGGAAATAAAAAACTATCATGAGAGTAGGACTTTTTCAGAAGACTATAAACTATTTGGAGTCATTTATAATCTTGACTGTTAAATTGCTATGTGGCTCTCTTGTATTTATTCATTGAATACTAGTTGTGCCAGATGCTCTTGTTATGCCTCTGGTAACACTAATAATATTCTCTAAAATTTTAGATTATACTTTTTCAATTTCTCCAAAATTACTTGAATGAATAAATGACAGGAGTACCACATTTTATCCAAAAAGTGTGTTTTTTTTTCTGTGCCTTGAAGGTCAAATAGTTTGAGTTTTGACAGACAAAGTAAAAAGTACCTTCTTTCTGATTCAAAGTTAATCATATAAGAATGTGGAAATCATAAGAGGAAACATCTGGGAAGTAAAGAAGGATGTTTGAGTAGATTTTATGGATACTAGATTTTAGAATATTCAATACTAGTTTCCCATTTTAAAGTTGCAGAATTTTTTTTAATATCAGTAATTAAAAAAAAGGAATGAGAAACTTCTTATTTAAAAATGCTTTTGGATAATATTTTCACAAAATATTTCAAACTAAAGAATTATTAAAATTTATTTTGATTTTCTATAGTCTTAAAAATTATTTGCTCTTTTCTTAACTTTGGCATATCACAACTATATTTTTAATTTAATCATTCTGTTTCCTATGCTGAAATTTTAAAATTAATTTCATAAAACAGGCAAATTTTTGGCAGCTGAAGCTCTTACACATTTTTTAATCCCTCCATTGATGTTGTTATAAAACATATGAGCACATGTGGAAAAATGCAAGTCGTTTATTCATTTCAGTATTTAGTCCAATTTAATTTGCCTTTTTAAAACCATAGCAGTGGATGAGATCTTCTAAAACAGGATGACTATTTATTAGTATTTAAGGGGGACTGTCCCTGTCCCCAAGAAGCTTACCAACTCATAGGAAAGACTGATGTAATTAATTTCAAACTAACATATCCGCTGATGTGGTTGAGTTTTGGACAGATAGTTAGAAAGTTTAAAGGAGAGGCACTGAGCTCCCCTCTTGGCCAGCTGTGGGTGACTAGAGACAACGATGTAGATGTTGGCAAGCTAAATAAGGGGACTTGCATTCCTGGCAGCACGAATAAGTGGGAAACAGCTTAATGGAGGTTGTGTATATGTGCGTGTGCTAGAAGCTATTTGGTATTATTAGAATGAAAAGAGAGAGATAGACTAACGAGATAAACAGGAATGGGATCGTGGTAAAAGTCTTGATCCTGTAAGTGATAGTGAGCTATTGAAAGGTTCAAATCAGAACTGTGGTCAGTTTTATGTCACTCTGGCAGCAGTGTAAAATAGACTTGCAAAAGACAAGACTGGAACAATGAAATCGGATAAAAGGTTATGAGAGTAGTCCAGGGAGGGAAATAGTATATCGGAGAAATCTTTAAAACCAAAGTCAGCATGTCTTGGTGATTATGATGGGTGAGGGAGAACAGGAAGTCTAAAATGATCCCCAGCTTGGAGAGTTGAGTGACCCAGTAATATGTATAACTTGGATAGGAAATATAAGAAATGGTAGGTTTTAGGAATGGAAGTGATTGAGTTTTGGCTATACTGGAAGTGAGGTATCTGTAAGAAAGAATAACTTGAAGATTTGGGAAATAAAGGTCAATGTGAGTATCAAGGCTACATAATGTTTTACACGATTAATAGATATGTGTTAGTTAAACCCATAACAAGGGATGTGATCTCCCAAGAATAGGGTGACCATAGGTTCCAGTTCGTTTGGGACAGTCTCGGTTTCCACCTGCTATGCAAGAGTAGTAGTTATTAATACTGCCCACTCTCACTCTCAAAGACATCTCATTAGGATCATAAGAATTATGTGGTTAGCCTACCTATGGTCAGTGCTTACAGAAAAAGAACGTGGGCAAAGGTGGAACACTGTGTTTAACATCAGTGTTTAAGTTAGTTTTCAGGGTTAACACCACAGAAGGAAGAACTTGTGTTATAACCTCACAGAACTATATTATCTGAGCCAAGGAAGGTGACAGGGGTCAGGAATGCTGAGGTACAGTGAAGTAAGTCTGGAAAAGTCCCCGCAGATGTGGTTCTGTGGGATACCTTTGCCAGAATGGATATGATGGAGTGGTGGGGTAGAAGATGGATCCCAGTGGGTTAAAGGGAGCCTGGATAGTTAAAAATTACAATAGCATTGTCTACAGTTTTGTTGCTGGTGTAGTTTAATGTATGCATTACATTTTCAACTAAAAAGTCAACCCAATAAAGAAGATAGAACGTGGAGATAGCATATGTAGAGTAATCTTTAGAGAAAGTCAGTAGAGAAGAGAAGATAGATATAACTAGAGGTCAATGCAAGGGCAAGGAATGTTGATAGCTGTCTTTAGAATGAGACCAGGGCACCTTGGAGGTGGGGGAGAGCTGATGGAGAGGTTTACTTCTGAAACCAGTCTTAAGTTCCTCCTTCACCTGTCAGCACTATTTTTTCCCTCCTGTTCCATGGATAAGATCTATGAAAAGGTTAATTATCTTATAAATTATTGAAGTTTTTTACTTGTTTGTTATTTGTTCTTCATACCCCCACATACACCCCAACGAAGGACAGGATTTTTTCTGTCTTGGTTTTCCTACTGTGTCCTACCATCTAAAACAGCTCCCAGTGCAGAGTAATCTTCCTGACAAATATTCTTTTAGTGACATAATTGAAGAAATAAGGGCTCAGAGGTCAGGAGTCCTGTGGAAGACTAGCTGTGGAATAGGAATAAATACATGCTGATCCTGAAAGGAGGCAGGCACTAGGCAGATTTCAGAAGAAGACCAGTTTATAGGTGGAAAAGGTGGAAATTAGAGGAATTCCATGTCTGATAAACAAGCAAGCAAGATTGTCTGCTATGAATGGGTCAGGTTAATGTTAGGGGTTTGAAAGGAATGGCTGGGAAATGGCTGACCAAGAATTAGGACAAGCCTGATCTAGCTGTTGAGGATCCTACGGAGACAAGCAGTGGGCAGTGGCACCAGCCTTCAAGTTTATGTTTCTTCCTGGCCATGCTCACCAGTCCAGGCAAGATACAAAGGAGGAAGGTAATGATTCCAGCTTCAAGTTAGGCCCACATCCAAATGAATTAGGCATATCTGAAGGGAGGCAGGAGGGCAGAGGGTGTTGAATGCATTTTAAGAGAGTGGTTTAGGATGCAGAGGGAGGGAAACGTGGCCAGGGAAAAACTATGGGGAAATCAGTGTCAAGGAATTAGAGGTAGAGTATGAGAGCCAAAATCAGAGGTTATGGTCAAACAAGAAGACATGGAGCAGTTCTGGGTGGGACCAAAATGGATGATGTTATTAAAGGAGAAAGTAGGTCATTTAGGAGAGCAAGGAATTCTGAGGGAGCTGGGATTTTTGTTTGGTCCTCCGTGGACACTTCACCTAGAATCATGATAGAGAAAGATGTAGAAAGCAGCACAGTGAGTAAAGCAATGAAAGTTTCAAATAAATGTAGAAGAGTAACCAAGAAAACATCTTTTATTCAATTATTTATTCAAAGAATCAACCATTCAACCAGTATTTATGGAGTGCCTACTATTTGCCAGCTATCTTGGTGCACAGATGACAGCAATGAAGGGACTTGATGGAGGTATAGATAGATGGCATGAACTTCAGAGGAAGATAGGAAGCAATAGTTTGGAAACAGAGTCGGAGAGGCAAGGTGGTGCCCCTCACCACCACCACCACCACTGGAGGTTGCAGGGACAGCTGTGGCTCCAGGAAGGCTAAGCTCAGAGAGAAAGGCATTGGTTTTCAGAGAAAAGGATTGAGAGAGTGGGGAGTAGCAGGAAGCAGACACAGGACAAGATGGGCTAGAATATATGGGAGGGCAGTACTAATTAGATGAGCTTACATTGTAGGCCAAGGTCAAGAACTAGCGGAAGATGAACAATTTGCCAGCTTCAGCATTCCAAATGGAACATTGGTGTCAAGTTTTTATTCCATCGCAGTGGATTCTGACTCATGATGCCCTGCCTGTAGCATCCAGAGTGGTGATGGCTTTGGGCATTACATGTGTCCTTTTGGAGCTATAGGTAATATATTTGTAGCTCAAAGGATGATGTACTTTGAGAAACTCAGAGCCTTCCTTCAGTGACAGCATTCTTTACTTGGGTCCATACCTCCTAGGGGTTCAATGGCGGCTTTCAAAGGGCCTGTGATCATCCTGACACTGTGCAAAATACTGTACAGGTGTGTGTTTCCCTGGGTC